TAAGCTTGTAAAAGAGACCCTTAAACCTAGACTTGGAACACACCCACTCCACTGAATAGCAGGCTAGTGATTGCTTTGCAACGCTTGCAGTTAGCCACTGATTCCTTCCAAACCACTAATTGTTGAATTTACTATTTCTAACTTGTAGTGTAATGATTATGTCCAATGGCCGATGAGCACTGGAACGTTTTATATACAATTTCTCTTCATATGACAAGGATGGAAAAGGATTTGCCTGTAGATTGGCGACGTAATTCATGATGATGACTGCTTGTCTATCTAAAATTTTGAAAGTATGATGCTGACATGATCAGTCCAATCAAAAATACAGTAGATATAACGTGATTTGATGTCATTTTATCTGTGGCCAATGACCTTGAGCCTTCTTGGATGGGCACTTCTAATGAAACTCAATGGCAGCACCCAAGGGGATGGAATTTGAGCTCTCCCCATAGATTTTGCGGTGATGTAGTGTCCCCATGAGTGACAGAACACTGAGCCAATCACGGCGCAACAAGAGAACATTACCAACCCCTACTCTCCGTATTTTCTGCTGGCTGCCCCACCACCACCACAGAAAGCACTGAGCTAGGCTGAAACACCTGCATTTTGGAGCTGCCTTACTCAAGAAAGCAAAAAAGAGACCATGTTTGTGCGCGGCTTTATTAACTGATATTTGACATGTATTAATGCCAAGCTAATAGGCTAGCGTATTTATTTATGTAGCAAGCTAAAAAAAAACATGGACATTAACGTTAGCTAGCTAGCTGCTAGGAGGGTGTCATGTCATGCCATTGGAAGAGTGGGTGAGTAACTTACTTTTTCCCCTCATATCATTTTGCGGTGGCTATACACAGCTAGAGATGCAGGTGTAATTTGGTTAGGTAGCAAGAACTTGAACGACTGTTATCCAGTTAGCATATCTCATCCATTCACAAATTCACTCTGGCTATCTACTCCGATTTCAGAGCACTCTCGTCTGAGTGTGCCAGAGCGCAGAACAACTGACAAATGTATGAACGCAAAACACCCGCTGAATATGACCGGTGTCAGTAAATGTAGGCAAAAAAAAGTAATAGCTAGTCAAGAACACTGTAGATAACATGTAAACAGCCTAACCAGCTCTGCTATGGCGAGTAAAATGGTCAGATTGAGGTCTTCTCTCATTTGTGTCTGGAAGTAGCTAGCTAGTAAGCTAGCCAACTTCAGCCAGTTAGCTTTGGTGCTTGGTTGGGACAAGCATGCACTGGCAGGAAAGCTGCAGACGGACAAGTAGGCTACAATTCCCCATCGTTTATCGTTGCAATTCTGACGGCCAACTAGCTAAAAAAGTTTGAGAGGTTTTATCCAATGTACCTTCATTAGATTTTAGCTCATCTTGCTCTGGTTATCATTAGTTGTTGATCTTGTTGATGTGCATAACTGAGGGAGAGAGAGCCTACCTTTTCATGGTTTTTGATCAATAGGACTGTAAAATTCCCAAATGTAAGAGGACTCCTGTGGTGTTTACATATTTGCAGGAATTCACTCAGGTGTATTCAGTGGCTTTTGGCGAATTCATTCTAATTATCTAAAGTCGCGCTGTTGCAACTGCTGTAAACACACAGTCCAATTCAAAGTAAATGATGGCAGGCCCGTGTGGCAAATGGGTTGTTTGTATAACGGCCTACTGTAGCTCTGATTGGCTATAGCGCACCGGTCTGTGTAGACTCCGGTCCTGGACAAGATTTTATTTGGTTTATTTCAGCAGTGTCTATTAATTGTCCAAACTCGCGGCCTCTTTCCCACTCTATATTGCTATAGAATTTTCACAAATGCTTTAGTATACGTAATCCCCAAACATTCGAAGAATATGAAAACGGGGGGGGGTAAATGAACAGATTTGAATGAGATTTCATGTTGCTGTCAGTTCAACTTTAAATGCAACGTTTCACACACAAGTTATTTTCAAAGAGATGGCTAACAGCAAGAGTGCTGCAATAAAAAAACACAGTTCCACTCACCAGATGATCATTTGAAACTTAACTTCTTGTTGAAAGTTATTCTTGAAAAGGGAGAAGCTAACAAATTAGCAACAACATCCTCTTTGATAAGACCTGCTGCAACCGCTGCAAACTAGCCAACAACAAAAGCTAGCTAGCTAGACCATGGCAAAACTATTGCTCGCTATTGTGCAGTGACCTGTTGGCCTTCAAGAAGGCAGACGTTTCCATGAGTTTTTGTAAAAACGGTCCCACTCATTATGTAAAAATGTGATTGGTTGATTCCACTGTCACTCCCAAATTTTGCCCTAATACAGTTGAATGGCAGATGCCTTGATCTAGCTTCTGATGGCCTAGCCAATGGCAGACTTAGCTAGCTAGATTTATCTCCCCAGAGACAGCCTTCTCTGAAGGCGTAAAGGCCCATTGTTCCCCACTGTGTTTGGGTTAGTAATAATTTGTATAGTGGCTCTATTTTCCCCTCACCATGCATTTTCACTATTCCGAATGTCTAAAGAATCCATGTTGTTCTGAAATATGAACACAGAAATACTGGACATTTAGAACTCTTATTATGGGGGTGATTTGAGAAAATGACAATCATGGTCTTGAATTGGACTCGCATTTTTCGAATCTCGGCCTACAAATAATATTGTAGACTGCAAATTGACCGCAACAAGCCCAAACAGATATAATATTTGACTAAAATATAATAATTTCAAACCTTGCTTACATTTGATTACGATCACATTCGTAAAGTATTCAGACCGCTTGACTTTTTCCAAATGTTTTACGTTACAGCCTTGTTCTAAAATTGATGAAATACATTCCTTTATCAATCTACACACAATACCCCATAATGACAAAGTGAAAACAGTTTTTGTATTTTTGCAAATTTATTCAAACAAAAAACAGAAATACCTTATTCACATAAGTACTCAGACCCTTTGCTATGAGACTTGAAATTGAGCTCCAGTGCATCCTGTTTCCATTGATCATCCTTGATGTTTCTACAACTTGATTGGAGTCCACCTGTGGTAAATTCAATTGATTGGACATGATTTGGAAAGGCACACACCGTTCAATGTAAGGTCCCACAGTTGACAGTTGATGTCAGAGCAAAAACAAAGCCATGAGGTCAAAGGAATTGTCTATAGAACTCTGGATTGTGTCGAGGCACAGATCTGGGGAAGGGTACTAAAACATTTCTGCAGCATTGAAGGTCCCCAAGAACACTGTGGCCTCCATCATTCTTAAATGGAAGAAGTTTGGAACCATCAAGACTCTTCCTAGAGCTGGCCGCCTGGCCAAACTGAGCAATCGGGGGAGAAGGGCCTTGGTCAGGGATGTGACCAAGAACTCGATGGTCACTCGGACAGAGCTCCAGAGTTCCTCTGTGGAGATGGGAGAACTTTTCACAACGACAACCATCTATGCATCACTCCACCAATCAGGCCTTTATGGAAGACAGGCCAGAAGGAAGCCACTCCTCAGTAAAAGGCACATGACAGCCCGCTTGGAGTTGGCCAAAAGGCACTTAAAGGACTCTCAGACCATGAGAAACAAGATTCTCTGGTCTGATGAAACCAAGGTTGAACTCTTTGGCCTGAATGCCAAGCCTCACTTCTGGAGGAAATCTGGCACCATCCCTACGGTGAAGCATGGTGGTGGCAGAATCATGCATTTGGGATGTTTTTCAGCGGCAGGGACTGGGAGACTAGTCAGGATCAAGGCAAAGATGAACGGATCAAAGTAAAGAGAGATCCTTGATGAAAACCTCAGGACCTCAGACTGGGGCGAAGGTTTACCTTCCAACAGGACATCGACCCTAAGCACCCAGCCAAGACAATGCAGGAGTGGCTTCGGGACAAGTCTCCGAATGTCCTTGAGTGGCCCAGCCAGAGGCCGGACTTGAACCCGATCTAACATCTCTGGATAGACCTGATAATAGCTGTACAGCAACGCTCCCCATCCAACCTGACAGAGCTTGAGAGGATCTGCAGAGAAGAATGGGAGAAACTCCCCAAATACAGGTGTGCCAAGATTGTAGCGTCATACCCAAGAAGACTCAAGGCTGTAATCGCTGCCAAAGCTGCTTTAACAAAGTACTGAGGAAAGGGTCTGAATACTTATATAAATGTGATTTCAGTTATTTTTTATATAAATATGCCAAAAATTCTAAAAACCTGTTTTTGCTTTTGTAATTATGGGGTATTGTGTGAAGAATGATAATATAACAATTATTGAATCCATGGTCTAAGGCACTGCATCGCAGTGCTATCTATGCCACTAGAGATCCTGGTTAGAATCCAGGCTCTGTCGCGCAATTGGCCCAGCGTCGTCCAGGGTAGGGGAGGGAATGGCCGGCAGGGATGTAGCTCAGTTGATAGAGCATGGTGTTTGCAATGCCAGGGTTGTGGGTTCGATTCCCACATGGGGGTATGAAAAAAATAAAAATAATGTATGCACTAACTGTAAGTCGCTCTGGATAAGAGCGTCTGCTAAATGACTAAAATGTAATGTAAATGTAAATTTTAGAATAAGGCTGTAACGTAACAAAATGTGGAAAAACTCAAGGGGTCTGAATACTTTCCGAATGCACTGAATCTCTCTATATTACGTGTGGGAATACTTTGGAACAGATTTCTAAAATTAAAATCACTTAGAGCTGATTTGCTGGTGTTTTTACAGTCTTTATCCTGAATAAAAAGTGTTATGTTTGGGAAAAATCCAATACAACCCATTACGGAGTCTACGCTCCATATTGTCAAGCATTGTGGTGGCTGCATCATGTTATGGGTATGCTTGTAATTATTAAGGACTGGAGAGTTTTTCAGGATAAAAAATAAACGGAATGGAGCTAAGTATAGGCAAAATCCTAGCTGAAAATCCACTTCCTTTTGAGTAAGGAGCTGGTATGGTTTAGGTACTCTATGAGATTGGGAGTCACTTACAGAGCAGTCGGAAAGGGTCCCGTTCAGGCAGGGAGATGACCACAGAGTTTAGCCTCCTCTCAGTTCACTCCTGCAGGCATCTCAGCCAGGCTCTGTCCACCTCCTCTGGAGCCTCCAGCTCCTCCACAGAACAGATCTCCAACACACTGGGGGGTTGGGAGGGGAGGAGGAGGAGGGGATAGAAGACATGAGGTTTACTATGACAGCAGCAATACTAGCTAGTAGCTAAAGGGACCTGCAATTGTGTTGATTTAACTCCATCATGTCCGCACGCACACATATGCCTATGTCCTGGGTCTTGGGCGTGTGGGTATCTATTACTACCCTCATTATTCTGCAAATTACTAAACTACTAGTAACTTTACCAACCATTATCTTCTTAATGTTGCGGTAAGTGAATTTTGCTGATCTACAAAAAAGTAGAATAAATATTTTCACCAATGCAGTAAATCTGGATTAGTGGTCTGAGTAATTTTTTTTATGACGTAAAGCATCTTATATAAGAGAGCTTAGATGAGGATTTCTTCCTAAATGCTGTCTACTCACCACACGGACTCATAGTTGTATCAGTTCTGCTGACTTGGTAGGATACACTTTTTTTTGCTATTCAGATGTTTTAAGGGAAGCGAAGCGCTTCCTCTTTAATTTAACATTCCATAACTTTGGGCCTATATGACAAGTATGATAAGTCATAACAGTTGCTTACTATTTTGTTATCTTGCTGTACTCCTGTCAAGAACAAAATACAAGTTTTTATAATGTTGGTGACATTTTTTTAAAATAATAGATCAAAAAGATGGATTCATAGACATAACTTTTTGTATGTATATTCAGAGTAAATGTATGTAAACCTGTCTGGTGTGCTTGCTAGCATATTCTCTCACATGTACCCATACACTATATTAATTGTAGTGGCACCCTACCATGATGAAAGCCTGCTCCTGTACGCGTGCAGCCCCCATGGCATCGGCCAGCCCCTCCAGAGCATGGAGACCCTGTTGGAGGGAGCTCAGGTTCTCCTTTATCTGGCTGAGCTGGCTCTCCAGACCCCCTACCGTCCTGCTCTCATCCTGGGTGTACACACACACACACACACACACACAATGAAAAGGGGACTAGTCCAGCACTGACTTGATTCAATTGCAATTTAAGCTTCTAGGCAACATGTCCTACTTGATCACACATATGTTTTGGCTTACGCCTTCCTCAATGGATTTTTGACTTGGAACCAGCCTCATCGCGGCGTTCGCCATTCTGTTTTACTGCACGTATAGAATGCTGAACTCAGCAATCATGCTGCTTTCACCAGGCTAGACTTCAAGCACCCTTTCATTGTTTTTACACTAGAGGATAGAGTTGAGCATGTTAGGGTTAGGGTTCTCTTTACCTGGGTCACACACAGCAGAACCATGGCCTCCTCCTGCTCCAAGGCCTCCCGCATGGTCCCATACTGCTGCTGCACTCCGGCACGTGCCTTACCCAACAACACCTGGGGAGAGGAGGGGACATGGGGAACACACAAGATGTATAAAATAACCACAATGGAAATCAGAGGACCACAATGGAAATCAGAGGACCACAATGGAAATCAGAGGACCACAATGGAAATCAGAGGACCACAATGGAAAGACGTGGTAAAAGAGTATGTTATCCTCAATGATTTAAAATGTATCCACTTCTGTGGCTGGAATTTTTTTAAACGGTCAAATAAATTCGATCCACTTATCTACAGCTTCTAACCTGGTAGCCCAGTTTCTTCTCTGTCAGCTCAGCCACTCTGCTCATTAATGAATGTTCTGTTTCCTGCATCTTCTTCATGTCCTCTTTCAGGTTCCCCTGCAAAAAAACAGATCATGATCCTTCCGTCACTGATGTCAATAGAAAACGTGTGCTTGCTTTTGTCTTCAGACTAATGTATTCATACCTCAACATTGACTGGTGATACGGCTTGAGAGCTTCAAGTTCTTCGGCGTCCACATCACTAAGGATCTATCATGGTCCAAACACACCAACACAATCGTGAAGAGGGCAGGACAACGCCTCTTCCCCCTCAGGAGGCTGAAAAGATTTGCATGGACCCTCAGATCCTCAAAATGTTATACAGCTGCACTATTGAGAGCATCTTGCCTAGCTGCATAACCACTTGTTATGGCAACTGCTTGGCATCCAACCGCAAGGCGCTACAGAGGGTAGTGTGTATGGCCCAGTACATCACTGGGGCCGAGCTCCCTGCCATCCAGGACCTCTAGACTAGGCGTGTCAGAGGAAGGCCCTGAAAATTGTCAAAGACTCCAGCCACCCAAGTCATAGACTGTTCTCTCTGCTACCGCACGGCAAGCGGTACCGATGCACCAAGTCTGGAACCAACAGTACCCTGAACAGCTTCTACCCCTAAGCCAAAAGACAGCTAAATAGTTAACCAAATAGCTACCTGGACCATCTGCATTGACCCTTTTTGAACTAACTTTTTGTACTCATCACATATGCTGCTGCTACTGTTTACTACCTGTCACTTTATTCCTAGTTATATGTACATATCTACCTCAATTACCTCGTACCCCTGCAAATCGACTTAGTACTGGTACGCCTTGTATATAGCCAAGTTATCGTTACTCATTGTGTATTTATTATGTATTTTACTTTTCTATTGTTTGTTTTTGTTCCATTGTCTTTCTCTCTGCATTGTTGGGACGGGCCCGTAAGTAAGTATTCAATGTTAGTCCACACCTGTTGTTCACGAAGCATGTGAAAAATACAATTTGATTTGATACTGTGTGTGAATGTGTACGATCATTTTATAAGAAAGTTTGCAAGTAAATATTTCACTGTACTGTTTACACCTGCTGTATCCTGTGCACGTGACAAACGTAGATTTTATTTACAGTGAGCTCGTAAAGTATTGGGACAGAGACACATTTTCTTTTTTGGCTCTGTACTCCAGCACTTTGAAATGATACAATGACTATGAGGTTAAAGTGCAGACTGTCAACTTTAATTTGAGGGTTAGGATCCTGTAGGTTCATGCTCTACAACATTCGCAGAGTACGACCCTACCTTACACAGAAAGCGGCACAGGTCCTAATCCAGGCACTTGTCATCTCGCGTCTAGATTACTGCAACTCACTGTTGGCTGGGCTCCCTGCCTGTGCTATTAAACCCCTACAACTTATCCAGAACGCTGCAGCCCATCTGGTGTTCAACCTTCCCAAGTTCTCTCATGTCACCCCGCTCCTCTGCACACTCCACTGGCTTCCAGTTGAGGCTCGCATCTACTACAAGACCATGGTGCTTGCCTACGGAGCTGTGAGGGGAACGGCACCTCCTTACCGTCAGGCTCTGATCAGACCCTACACCCAAACGAGGGCACTACGTTCATCCACCTCTGGCCTGCTAGCCCCCCTACCTCTACGGAAGCACAGTTCCCACTCAGCCCAGTCAAATCTATTCGCTGCTCTGGCACCCCAATGGTGGAACAAGCTCCCCCACGACGCCAGGACAACGGAGTCGCTGACCACCTTCCAGAGACACTTGAAACCCTACCTCTTTAAGGAATACCTGGAATAGTATAAAAGTAATCCTTCTACCCACCCCCCATAAAAAAATAAAGTGGTTGTCCCACTGGCTATCATAAGTTGAATGCACCAATTTGTAAGTCGCTCTGGATAAGAGCATCTGCTAAATGACGTAAATGTAAAAATTTTCATCCATAAATCAGGTGAACAGTTTAGAAATTACACCACTTTTTGTACATAGTCTCTCGACCCCCCCTTCCCCGCAATGATTACATAAAGCATGTGATGCACAAATATCATACCCCCAAGACACGCTAACCTCTCACTATTACAACAACAGTGGAGGTTAGCATTTTTGGGGTGTATGATATTTGTGCGTCTAACTTTCATTCATCATTATTCACGATTAATTCAGGATTATCCAATCATGGTAGCATCCAAATTAATGTAGAAGTGTTTAGAAACATATTATATTCTTATTTACAATAAAAGTGACTCTAAAATGACACAATACATTATTTACCATTCATTTCTATTGGACACAAAATAATCTGAAACACAAGCAACACAAACAGCAAATGCATCCAACGAGTTTGTAGAGTCACATGCTTGATGTAATGATTGTGTGATAGGAATATGGGACCAAATACTAAACTTCTGACTACTTTAATACACAAGTGAATTTGTCCTAATATTTTTGGTCCCCTAAAATGGGGGGAATACACCAAATGCAGTGCATTCGGAAAGTATTCAGACCCCTTCACTTTTCCACATTTTGTTACGTCACAAACTTATTCTAAAATTGATTAAATTACATTTTATCCTCATCAATCTACACACAATACCCCATAATGACAAAGTGAAAACAGTTTTTGTATTTTTGCAAATTTATTAACACTAAAAAACTGTCTATATTAGGTCCAACAGTTGACAGTGCATGTCAAAGCTAAAACCAAGCCATGAGGTCGAAGGAATTGTCCGTAGAGCTCCGAGACAGGATTGTGTCGAGGCACAGATCTGGGGAAGGGTACTAAAAAAATTCTGCTGCATTGAAGGTCCCCTAGAACACAATGGCCTCCATTATTCTTAAATGGAAGAAGTTTGGAACCACCAAGACTCTTCCTAGAGCTGGCCACCTGGCCAAACTGAGCAAATGGGGGAGAAGGGCCTTGGTCAGGGAGGTGACCAAGAACCTGATGGTCACTCTGACAGAGCTCCTGAGTTCCTCTGTGGAGATGGGGGAACCTTCCAGAAGGACAACCATCTCTGCAGCACTCCACCAATCAGGCCTTTATGGTAGAGTAGCCAGACGGAAGCCACCCCTCAGTAAAAGCTACGACAGCCTGCTTGGAGTTTCCCAAAAGGCACTTAAAGGACTCTCAGACCATGAGAAACAAGATTTTCTGGTCTGATGAAACCATGACTGAACTCTTTGACCTGAATACAAAGTGTCACGTCTGGAGGAAACCTGGCACCATCCCTACGGTGAAGCCTGGTGGTGGCAGCATCATGCTGTGGGGATGTTTTTCAGCTGCAGGGACTGGGAGACTAGTCAGGATCGAGGGAAAGATGAACGGAGCAAAGTACAGAGAGATCCTTGATGAAAACCTGCTCCAGAGCGCTCAGACTGGGGCGAAGGTTCAGCTTCCAACAGGACAGTGACCCCAAGCACACAGCCAAGACAACGCAGGAGTGGCTTGCGACAACTCTCTGAATGTTCTTGAGTGGCCCAGCCAGAGCCCGGACTTGATCCCGATCGAACATCTCTGGAGAGACGTGAAAATAGCTGTGCAGTGACGCTCCCCATCCAACCTGACAGAGCTTGAGAGGATCTGCAGAGAAGAATGGGAGAAACTCCCCAAATACAGGTGTGCTAAGCTTGTAGCGTCATACCCAAGAAGACTTAAGGCTGTAATCGCTGCCAAAGGTGCTTCAACCAAGTACTGAGCAAAGGGTCTGAATAATTATGTAAATGTGATATCATTTTTTATTTATTTACAAATATTTCTAAAAACCTGTGTTTGCTTTGTTATTATGGGGTATTGTGTGTAGATTGATGAGGGGGAAAAAACGATTTTAGAATAAGGCTGTAATGTAACAAAATGTGGATAAAGTCAAGGGGTCTGAATACTTTTGTCCTCAGAACAGTCTCAATTCGTCGGGGCATGGACTCAACAAGGTGTCAAAAGCATTCGACAAGGATGTGTCACTGTCCCAATACTTTTGGAGCTCACTGTATGTGTGTGTTTTGTCCCCGCCTCTCTCACCCTCAGCTCCCTCTCGGATACTGATGCAGCTATGCTCCCAGTGCAACCCTATCACGGTACACACGGTACACACATACGCTACACTGCCGGCAGTAGATCCAGTTCATCCCCTGGTGTTCAGAGCACCTGATGATGATAAATGTTTTATTGTTATTTGACAACTGTCAGCAACAACCTGAATTACATGCACAATTTACCATGAAATGATTCATTACAAATTATTAGAAGATGCAATATTTTAGTGTCATGTCAACCAAAGGTGTTAGGAATTTGACTTAGTGCAGCTCATAAAAAACGTACATGAATTTTCATAGACTATAAATAAATACCACAGAGCACATGGTATAAAAAAGTTAGGTGAGTACAAGTTTACAAAACACCCTAAATATACTGAATAACACTGAAACTTTACCTCCAGGGTGATATATCCTCCATGGGAAGCAACAGGGTGTGGCTCTGGAACACAGGTGACTCCAGGTGGGGGCGGAGGTGTTCGGAGCACATGGAGGCTCCACACACCAAGCAGGTCTTCACAGCAAGGAGAGAGCCCTGCCTGGGGCAGTTGTGGCAGGGCAGGGGTGTTTCGCTGGAGGTCTGGCGGCTGGGGCCGGAAGTCCGGTTGTTGGCAGCACGGGTAGGAGAGGTGGGTGTGCTGATTTGACCAGGGGATCTGAAGGGGATCTCTGGAAGTGGCTCCCTCTCAGTTTCAGCTTTCTCCTTTGCAGGGGTCACTAAACGTAAATGGTTTGTTTGGGTTGTTTCAGCAGATTTCTTGGTGGGTGTCAGGGGTTCTCTTGCAGGGGGTGGCAGTGGGTCCAGTTCGATGAAGGTGACTGTTCTTGGCGATGTGTTGTTGATGCTACACATGTTACCTGCTGCTGCTGGTTCAGGTGATTTTTTAGGTTCATTCATGGGTTCACTTGTAAGAGGTACTCTTGCAGCAGAGGGTGTGTCCTGCTCATTGGGTTTCTCTCTCATAGGGATATACAGTGAGGGAAAAAAGTATTTGATCCCCTGCTGATTTTGTACGTTTGCCCACTGACAAAGACATTATCAGTCTATAATTTTAATGGTAGGTTTATTTGAACGGTGAGAGACAGAATAACAACAACAAAAATCCAGAAAAACGCATGTCAAAAATGTTAAAAATGGATTTGCATTTTAATGAGGGAAATAAGTATTTGACCCCCTCTCAATCAGAAAGATTTCTGGCTCCCAGGTGTCTTTTATACAGGTAACGAGCTGAGATTAGGAGCACACTCTTAAAGGGAGTGCTCCTAATCTCAGTTTGTTACCTGTATAAAAGACACCTGTCCACAGAAGCAATCAATCAGATTCCAAACTCTCCACCATGGCCAAGACCAAAGAGCTCTCCAAGGATGTCAGGGAAAAGATTGTAGACCTACACAAGGCTGGAATGGGCTACAAGACCATCGCCAAGCAGCTTGTTGAGAAGGTGACAACAGTTGGTGCGATTATTCGCAAATGGAAGAAACACAAATTAACTGTCAATCTCCCTCGGCCTGGGGCTCCATGCAAGATCTCACCTCGTGGAGTTGCAATGATCACGAGAACGGTGAGGAATTAGCCCAGAACTACACGGGAGGATCTTGTCAATGATCTCAAGGCAGCTGGGACCATAGTCACCAAGAAAACAATTGGTAACACACTACGCCGTGAAGGACTGAAATACTGCAGCGCCTGCAAGGTCCCCCTGCTCAAGAAAGCACATATACAGGCCCGTCTGAAGTTTGCCAATGAACATCTGAATGATTCAGAGGAGAACTGGGTGAAAGTGTTGTGGTCAGATGAGACCAAAATGGAGCTCTTTGGCATCAACTCAACTCGCCGTGTTTGGAGGAGGAGGAATGCTGCTTAAGACCCCAAGAACACCATCCCCACCATCAAACATGGAGGTGGAAACATTATGCTTTGGGGTTGGGACAGGACAACTTCACCGCATCAAAGGGACGATGGACAGGGCTATGTACCATCAAATCTTGGATGAGAACCTCCTTCCCTCAGCCAGGGCATTGAAAATGGGTCGTGGATGGGTATTCCAGCATGACAATGACCCAAAACACACGGCCAAGGCAACAAAGGAGTGGCTCAAGAAGAAGCACATTAAGGTCCTGGACTGGCCTAGCCAGTCTCCAGACCTTTATCCCATAGAAAATCTGTGGAGGGAGCTGAAGGTTCGAGTTGCCAAACGTCAGCCTCAAAAACTTAATGACTTGGAGAAGATCTGCAAAGAGGAGTGGGACAAAATCCCTCCTGAGATGTGTGCAAACCTGGTGGCCAACTACAAGAAACGTCTGACCTCTGTGATTGCCAACAAGAGTTTTGCCACCGAGTACTAAGTCATGTTTTGCAGAGGAGTCAAATACTTATTTGCCTCATTAAAATGCAAATCAATTTATAACATTTTTGACATGCGTTTTTCTGGATTTTTTTGTTGTTATTCTGTCTCTCACTGTTCAAATAAACCTACCATTAAAATTATAGACTGATCATGTCTTTGTCAGTGGGTAAACGTACAAAATCAGCAGGGGATCAAATACTTTTTTCCCCTCACTGTAGATCTACATTGTAGAATAATAGTGAAGACATCAAAACTATGAAATAACACATATGGAATCATGTAGTAACCCAAAAAGTGTTAAACAAAGCCACCATTTGCCTTGATGACAGCTTTGCACACTCTTAGCATTCTCTCAACCAGCTTTACCTGGAAAGCTTTTTCAACAGTCTTGAAGGAGTTCCCACATATACTGAGCACTTGTTGGCTGCTTGTCCTTCACTCTGCAGTCCAACTCATCCTAAACCATCTCAATTGGGTTGAGGTCAGGTGATTGTGGAGGCCAGGTCATCTGATGCAGCACTCCATCACTCTTCTTCTTGGTCAAATAGCCCTTACACAGCCTGGAGGTGTGTTGGGTCATTGTCCTGTTGAAAAACAAATGATAGTCCCACTAAGCCCAAACCAGATGGGATGGCGTATCGCTGCAGAATGATGTTGTAGCCATGCTGGTTAAGTGTGCCTTGAATTCTAAATAAATCAGACAGTGTCACCAGCAAAGCACCCCCACACCATAATACCTCCTCCTCCATGCTTTTTGGTGGGAAATACACATTCGGAGATCATCCATTCACCCTCACAAAGGGTCTCACATCTCACAAAGACACGGCGGATGGAACCAAAAATCGTAAATTTGGACTCCAGACCAAAGGACACATTTCCACCGGTCTAATGTCCATTGCTCGTGTTTCTTGGCCCAACCAGGTCTCTTCTTATTATTGGTGTCCTTCAGTAGTGGTTTCTTTGCAACAATTCGACCATGAAGGCCTGATTCACACAGTCCCCTCTGAACAGTTGATGTTGAGATGTGTCTGTTACTTGAACTCTGTGAAGCATTTATTTGGGCTGCAATTTCTGAGGCTGGTAACTCTAATGAACTTATCCTCTGCAGCAGAGGTAATTCTGGGTCTTCCATTCCAGTGGCGGTCCTCATGAGAGCCAGTTTCATCATAGCGTTTGTTGTTTTTTGCGACTGCACTTGAAGAAACTTTCAAAGTTCTTGACATTTTCCGTATTGACTGACCTTCATGTCTTAAAGTAATGATGGACTGTCATTTCTCTTTGCTTATTTGAGCTGTTCTTGCCATAATATGGACTTGGTATTTTACCAAATAGGGCTATCTTCTGTATACCGCCCCTACCTTGTCACAACACAACTGATTGGCTCAAACGCATTAAGGAGGAAAGAAATTCCACAAATTAACTTTTAATTGAAATGCATTCCAGGTGACTACCTCATGAAGCTGGTTGAGAGAATGCCAAGAGTCTGCAAAGCTGTCATCAAGGCAAAGTGGGGCTATTTGAAGAATCTCAAATATAAAATATATTTTGATTTGTTTAACACTTTTTTGGTTACTTTATGGATTCCATATGCGTTATTTCATAGTTTTGATTGCTTCATTATTATTCTTCAATGTAGAAAATAGTAAAAATGAAGAAAAACCCTTCAATGAGTAGGCGTGTCCAAGCCTTTGACTGGTACTGTGTATATACACTACCGTTCAACAGTTTGGTGTCACTTAGAAATTTCCTTGCCAGAGTTGCAAAGAAAAAGCCATATCTCAGACTGGCCAATAAAAAGAAAAGATTACGATGGAACACAGACAAAAGAACACAGACACTGGACTTTTTCTTTGCAACTCTGCCTAGAAGGTCAGCATCCCGGAGTCGCCTCTTCACTGTTGGCGTTGAGACTGGTGTTTTGCGGGTACTATTTAATGAAGCTGCTAGCATATAGTCTGTTTCTCAAACTAGACACTCTAATGTATTTGTCCTCTTGCTCAGTTGTGCACCGGGGCCTCCCACTCCTCTTTCTATTCTGGTTAGATCCAGTTTGCGCTGTTCTGTGAAAGGAGTAGTACACAGCGTTGTACGAGAACTTCAGTTTCTTGGCAATTTCTCACATGGAATAGCCTTCATTTCTCAGAACAAGAACAGACTGACGAGTTTCAGAAGAAAGTTATTTGTTTCTGGCCATTTTGAGCCTGTAATCGAACCCACAATTGCTGATGCTCCAGATACTCAACTAGTCTCAAGAAGGCCAGTTTTATTGCTTCTTTAAATCAGCACAACAGTTTTCAGCTGTGCTAACACAATTGCAAAAGGGTTTTCTAATGATAATTAGACTTTTAAAATGATCAACTTGGATTAGCAAACACAACGTGCCATTGGAACACAGGACTGATGGTTGCTGATAATGGGCCTCTGTACGCCTTTGTAAATATTCCATTTAAAAAATCAGCAGTTTCCAGCTACAATAGCCATTTACAACATTAACAATGTCTACAATGTATTTCTGATCAATTTGATGTTATTTTAATGGACAAAACATTTGCTTTTCTTTCGAAAACAAGGAAATTTTGAAGTGACCCCAAACTTTTGAACGGTAGTATATATATATATATATCCCTGTAATGCTTAGAGAAGATCTCATGTCAAGTGTTACTGAAGGTTCACCTGCCTCATCTAAAGCCTATTATTTTAGGGTGTTGCTTTAAGCCACCACAGGCTGACAGTCAGTATCTAGATAATGTGTGTGAAATGCTTGATAGTGTGTGTGATGTTAACAGAGAGGTCTATTTTCTGGGTGATCTGAACATTGACTGGTTAGCAACTAGCTGTCCTCTCAAGAGGAAGCTTCTAACTGTGACTAACACCTGTAAAATGACTCAGGTTATTACTCAACCAACTAGAGTGCATACCAATAGTGTTGGATCAGTGACATCCACTTGTATTGATCATATCTTCACTAATGCTGCAGCTTTGCTCCAAAGCAATATTAGTTCCCATTGGCTGTAGTGACCATAACATTGTGGCAATAATTGATAAGAGATCACACAAAATGTTCTCAGGACATTTGTTGAAGATGTAAAAAATGTATGTTTGTCTGATGTGTATGAGGAAGTGAATCTAGATGCAGCGCTGGAAGTATTTGTAAAATTATTAATGGAAATTGTTTACAAGCATGCACATGCTAAAAAATTAACCGTGAGAACTGTTAGAACCGCCGGATTGATGACGAATTGAAAAAATGTATGGTTCAAAGAAATGATGCAAAAAAGGTGGCAATCAAGCCAGGCTGCTCAGCTGATTGGTTGACATAGCCTACTGTAACTTGAGAAATATTGTGACTAAACTTATCAAAAAGAAGAAATTACATTACCAAACCAAGATAAATCACATAAAACACAATGGAAAAACACTTTGGAGTAGCCTACCTTAAATGATATCATGGGCATAAAACCCAATCCATCTCCATCACTCTTTGAAGTTGATGGGTCATTTATAACAAAACCTTTCGATGTTGCCAATCCTTTCAATGAGTAATGGAAAA